ATTTTCTCCGAGTACTTCGGTTTCCCTTGCCAATCTTAATTCCACCAATTGCTCCACAATCACCCTCTCCTATCATCTGGGGCTGGTAAATAGGCCAGAAGTGGCCGCAGTACAAGGGACTTAGTCCCACCCCACTAGCATTAAAAAAATACTTAAAGATACAAAAATATCCAAAAGTAATTTCACCATATGTTATTCCAAGATACAGGCAACATCATAATTAATATCCAGGAACCATATTTCTTTAAATGAACACTCAAGCGTAATAAATATTTCTAGGTTACCGACGGTGTTAGGCGAAAAACTGCTGCATTGGCGAACACTTCCAGAAGGCCATGCTCTTTAGGTTATGGTGAAGCAACTAAACTTGTCATCACACTTAAAAGCTCACACCGACAAATGATCTCATCAAACTGCGAGTGGAGCAACGCAAACACCGATCCACTCTCAGGTTTACGATCCAATCTGCAGATAGGCGTGTACAGCCCGAGCCAGGCTTCCCTTCTTTGTCACGAAATTAATGAATTCATTGCCCAGCATTTGTCGTTGTTTCTGTGTCTACTAAACTTGAATATTAGGTAAAACGCAAGACTTATCTGCTGAAAACCGAATGTTAATAAAACATGAGGATGGGGGGTATGTAGTACGTTGGCTTATTTCAATTTACAACAAGAATTTAGGGCACATAGAGTTCCCTAACATGGATTTACTAACTAGTTTTTGTTTAACTTGGCTGTGTACCATAGTAATAACATGTGATTTAAAGTAAATTAGTATATATCGTCCAGTGATTATTTATTCATACTTCGACATGCTTCCGCCTCATAGGTTCATCATCAGAGGTGTTTTATTAGCCAAAACCTTCTCTACAGTCACTCAAGGTTTCTCTAAGACTGCTCTAAGACTTGCATTAAAATAACAAAAAGCGAGTATAGTATAATACGTATGTTGTACTGAGCGAATGAGTCCTCGATGTATATTAAAAATGTGCAATTCATATTTCATAAGAGTCGTTCCAGCACAACATATCGATAAAATGTGCCATATCTGCTTTTGCTGACTGTATAAGTTCTTACTGTGGACTAAAAGTCTTGTAGGAAATTTATGACTATTCTAAGAGCGTTGTTTAATAAAACAAGAACAAGATCGTGACTGAGTGACCATAGACGGGGTATGGATTGGTAACTGGATTTATTGGACACTTAAAGATTAGGGCTAGCACTAATTCACATACTCTACAATTTCATACAACACGCATTAAAGCTTCTCAGTCTGCTATATCGTCACCGGTTGTTGCCTGGTAACGGCTTTCAATATCGTAGCTCCCTGAGCTTCAGTATTCACATCCTTACTGGCCATCGACTGTCTCACAATTCCCTGAACTTTAGACGTGTCCTGCTTATAACACCCCGGTAAAGATCGCATAGAAAATGCCTCTACCTAGAATTCTACTTTTGAATCAGGTGGCTATCACTTGGACTGCGTAGAGAACACCATACTGTTACTGTTTATGGCCATTAGATAGCAACAACCGATGTTTACAGTTATTACTTAGCAACGTGTCTACATGCTACAATATTAACATGGAAGGCCGGGCCTTAGCTCAAGCGGTTAGTCGCTGCTTCCAACCGCGGTGGCCCGGGTTCGATCACAGGTCTGGTCAAGTGGGATTTGTGGTGGACAAAGTGGCGCTGGGGCAGGTTTTCTCCTAGTACTTCGGTTTCCCCTGCCAATCTTCATTCCACCAATTGCTCCACAATCACCCTCACCTATCATCTGGGGCTGGTACAATAGGCCAGAAGTGGCCGCAGTACAAGGGACTTAGTCCCACCCTACTAGCAATAAAAACTTACTTATAAAGTCTAGCCATAAAAACGTGTAAGCCTGCAATGAAAATTCTTGTTTGGGCAGCCCGGAGAGCAAAGCTGGCCTTAATAGATAGACAGCTTAAGTTACAAAGACTCTATTGTACATATGTGTAAGCCGAAGTCTAATAGGTCTGTTGTTAAAGAACTTTAAACTGACTGAATCTTGTATGACAGCTTTGTCAATAGGCGGGATATATGTCATAAATCATAATACACGTTTCAAACTTGGGTTGCCTTAATGTCTACTCCTTGCTTCGAGCTCGGTGGCCTTACAACCAAATAGGGTTTAATGTTAGTAGTTTCCTCTTAACGTCACATTAATAACAGTGACGATGATAATTACTTTTGATTGAGAAGACCCTCTACCGGAACTCGATGACTGAGCATTTCACGTTGCAGTCAGATCACTTTTGCAACAACAATAAAAGTTTGACCTGACATGGAGAAGATGGAGAATGGAGAAGCTTTTTCATTTATACAAGTGTAGTATTCTTAGGGAAGTGAAATTAAGGAGCTGCGATGGGCTGGACGTGTAGGTCGTTTGTATTTAGGAGTAATGGTGTAGAATTTTGGCGAGGAAAATTTTGAAAAAAAAAACTAATTAATATATTCGGGTGACACAAATTACTCATAGCGATACACAAGGTTTCTCTAGAAGATTGTATGAGTCGCTCTCTATGTGAATATATTCGTGAGTGAGAGAGAGAGAGAGAGAGCAAGTGTTATGCTGTATGTTAGGCGCATATTTCATCCATTTCGTAATTAAAATGCTATCCCGGTAAGAGGCCGTGGAGGCCCATAAGGTTTTGATATGTCGAGGCTCCCACATTTTCTAGATAATCGGCTCACAGATGGCGGTGACGTTGTCAGACTTACGCGCCGGCCGCCCTTTACCCCCAGGAAGGTTCCTGGTACTCATTTCTGTTACAGGTTTTGTTGACCCCCGGGGCCCTACTGCGGCTCGAAGGTTTACGGCAATTAAAAATCAAATTACATCATCAGGAATCGAACCCGGGACCTTCCGGCTTGTAGCACTGTATCTCAACCATGTTACTGCGTGTTCATCTCGTAATTTACTTATTTTTTATTATATAATTACACGAACTTATGCTTTCGTAATGAAATTTATGTATAAGAAAGTTGCAAGTCTGTGACAGCTTCGTTCGGCCTCGGTCTACAGCTAGCGTGGCAGAAAACTGAGGTTAATTGTTTATCTTTCGAAAGTTTCTAACTCCGCTGAACCAATTCCGATACCATTAACTTTTCACTATGGGAAATATATTCATCTTCTACGAACAATAAAAAAAAAACAGGACAAAACAGAATAATATAAGTCAATTCAAACACAACAACTATTTTTCTTTTAATTGTATCGTATAATATTTCTATGGTGACAGGTGGAAATTCTATTCCTAACATGACTCAATGTTAGTTATGAAATATGCCGAAAACGCGGTTTCTAAAATATGCCTGGCTTACGAAGTAACGAGCTTCGAATTCCCAAAATACGTGCTCTAATTGCATTCTCAGAGCTAAACAAACATAGCAACATCGTCGTATACTTGGGTCTATTTGTGTATACATTTAACACTGACACTGCCAAGAAGTAATGCTTGCCTCAAGGTGAAATTTCAAGATTGTTCGTTATCTATCTGAGATATATCCAGAACGTATGATTAATCGCTTATTGATATAACTGATTGCAGTGCTGGTCTATCATAACATGTGGGTATTATGAAACGAAAAAAAGACCTTAATGTATTAGGTACGGCATTTGTACATCTTTGTGCGAAGCATATATTTTCGTTTAGAGAACTCTGACATTATCGGTGATGCAAAACCTCCTAAACCATAATAGTTTTATTCCAAGACCATCCATAACTTGTTCTAAAATAGGCCGTTTTTTTACACATTTACGTATACAATAGACGTCTAAGCCGGTCACGGTAGCCGCGCGGTCTAAGGCGGCCCATACACGTATGAGTCTGGCTCGCGAGTCTATCTCGGCGAGGAGCGGGGCTGAGATTAATTTCACCACACACGTATGAGCGTGGTGACCCACACACGGACGAGTTTGGTTCATTGGAACCCAAGCCGAGTCGGACTCGCGAGCCAGACTCGTACGTGTATGGGCCCCATAAGGCATGAATTGTCTTCGTTCACTCGGAAGCCGGGATCGTGAGTTCGAATCCCACACAAGGAATGGATGTTTGGTGTGTGTATGCGTTTATCCTGTGTTTATGTTGTCCCGTGTTTAGGTAGAGGCCTTGCGACGAGCTGATCACCCGTCCAAGGAGTCCTAACATCTGTAAAAATAAATGATCATGAAACTGAGAAATCAGCCCTATGCTCCAAAATGGGAGCAAAGAGAATAAACAAAATACGTCTATACATATGTCCAGGGAATAGGACACGTTTCACATAAAATGAAACAAATCAGAATATTAAAATTATTGACATAGGTCTCTAGGATTTTCATTTCATGCATCCTGTTGTGTTATANCCTCAAAATGAAAAAATGACCTTAAACCTAAAAATGTCAAAAAATGACAAAAAATACCTATAAAATTTACATTTCTGTAACCAGCAGCTCATATACCAGATTTATATTTTTAAGAGCATCGCATAGGATACAAGGAAAAAAGATGACATAGTCATCAAAATCCGGGCCCTGGTTATAATATGCAACTTAGTTATTAAAACCGTCACAACACAACGATATCAACTAGGCACTGACCTTGACATAGTTGTGTTGTGACGGTTTTAATAAAGAAATTAGAAACAGCCCTCAGTAGATTCCTCCTGGAGTGAAGTTTTTGTGTAGTATTCGTGAATAACCTCAAATGTGGTTTCTTCACCCAAACGTTTAAACGAGTTTGTCTTAAAACGCTCAACAATACGAAATTATATATATAGATGTACAAGATAATTTCGAATGTTAAAATATTAGCTAGAAATTAGGATATTGAACTAATACGGCATCCCAAATCCTCTAACTAAAACATAAACACTATTCCGAAGAAGAGCCTATCATCGAAAATGTAATCAAGAGAGATGACATAAGAAAACTGGCTGCACGAGACCACCAGTACTCTGCTCGTAAAACAGTTGTATGTAGCATCCGTGACTTACCAATGACGTAGGAATAGCCGTCCAGGGTCAGGATACACTTGCGAGAGGACGTGCCGCTAGGACAATGCCTGCTCGAGCTCTTCACTCTCGTACTCGTACTTCTTCCTCTTGCTACAGAGGCACGGAGATCATCATCGCCTTCCTCTCTTTCTGCCACAGCACTTCCAGGGTCGCTGTGGCACTTGTGCACCACATCTTTACCACCACTACACGTTCCCTCCATTTGCTCCCTCAGACGGCTGTCTGCTTCCTCTCTCAAGTCTCGCTAATAATCTCTGTCATTCTCCTTCAAAAAATGGCTAAATGGTACATACTTGAACAACGTCTAATTACGTAATTAATGTTCACCTGATAAAACTCTCTAATCTGTAGCTGTTGAAGTCCACTTCTTCACTTTGCCTAAAGATACGAACACGTTATTTCACAACATCGAACATATCAGTCATTTGGTCAAAAGGGGACATTTTTACACTAGGTGTCAATTTAACAGTTTCTCGTATTGCCTTATATAGAATTTCTATAACTATTCTTTGTTCACAGACACGTATACAACCCAAAAACATAATTCAGTATGCTCCCTGTATACTTTTCGCTTTACAGCAACGACAGCATAACCGTTTTAGCACACCTACCTGCCAATAGTTAACATGGTTATCGTCTGTTTATACACGCCACTTAAATAAAGCACAATAAGTCACATTGTTCACATTCACAAATTAATTTCGGTGAATGATGGTGGTGGGGGGAGCATCTATGACAGTTATATAATTACAGTTTGACTCCCCTCACACACACGCACACGCACACACACGCACACAACATTCATCTTACGACAAACGAACGAAATGTCTGGTTCAATCGCGACATGAAGCCTCGAGCCAATAGTTGACAATAATACGATACCCGAAGATCGCGCCGGAAAAGCTACACGTTTAGTGAAAAACGCTAATATAAATTACACCGAGTTTGGTTAGACCTACTCTTCATTTTAACACTACACGCGTTTAACTATCATATCAACGACAGGAAAAGGAAACACACCAATTACGATGTAAACGCGGCGTCATTGTGAAACGAACAATCCTCAATTTGACAGTGTAACTGACACGTGGGCATTTGCTCACGTTAGGCTGTTGCGGGCGGCCCAACTGAACTGGCGTAGATCCAACCTGTGGTGATTGGGACGAAAGGCGAGTTCGTCGTGCGCCCGCGTGGGGCGCGAGTGAGACGAAACACTTGCGGAGAGTGAAATGTCCTTTCCCGCCACTGGCCGCCCTGAGAGTAGGAAAACATGTGAGACTGGCGCGTTCGGCATGCATATCCCACCACATAGACAAATATCGGAAGCGGATCGACGGGTTAGGAGAAAGGGAGGGAGAGATTACTCCCTAGAAGATAATATTAAACTAATAGAGGAGGGTGGGGAAGTCATATTGGCCTGCATGGCAAATTCCATTAATATCATCCCACAAACAGACTCTCTAATCAGATACGCTGGTTCTGGAATGTTTTCCTTTCCGATACGTCACTACTGGTTTCTCTGTGGTTTGTGTTTCTCTTCGGGTTAACAGATAGCGTCGACACATGAGGTGGTGATGTTGACTGATGCTGACTGATGAAAATGACAGTTAAGAAGATTTTATCTTATAGCAAAAGGAGCCTTGGGTGTTTATTTTTGAAACTGACTGCAAACTTCTCTGTGTGAGGCAACCAACCACTGTAGGTTACAGAGTATGGCTAAGGGACAATATGTTTGAAATGTTAGCATATGCGAAACTCCCGGTAACTAGAAGTTGAGGAATATATGAATTAATGAGAATTCGGATGAGGCGTCTTAACGCACACCTTCCATTCATTAGACAAGACAAATGCCTCTTTGGAATTTAATATTACTGACATAAAGTATAGAAATAACTAAGAGTAATTAAGAACCGGGATAGCATAGTCGGTATAGCGACTGGCTACGGGCTGGACGGCCAAGGGTTCTAAGTTCGAGTCCCGGTAGAGTCAAGAATTTTCTTTTCTTAAAGTCGTCCAAACCGGTTCTGGGGTCCACCAAAACTCCTATCCAATGAGTACTGGGGACTCTATTCCCGTGGTTAAAGCGGCAGGGACGTGAAGCTGACCACTCACCTTCAACCAGTGCCGAGGTCAAGAAAACATGCAGCTATACATCCACTCCCCCATACGCCTTCATGGCGCAGTGCTTTGTTAGTTGAGAACAGGGACAAATTTAATTTTACATTTAATGAAAGGTTTCATTGGACTGTTTATACTTAATTTGAAATTTCTGTTCATTTTCAATTGGATTTCAATCTATGAACAGAATTCTGGTTTCGGCCTTTGTGTTAATTTAATATGAATGTACCTGCGTACAGTAGACATTGATTGCTTCTAAACTAAACATGAGGAGTCCTAAATTTTGCCGCCGTTTCTGGTAAAATAAGCCGCCAACGCTGAAAAGATAACCAGTTGGAGTTCCAAATTCGATTTGAGCAATATCGGACACAAAGAAAATTCCATCGAGAATTGAGGGAGTAAGAAGAGACAGGCTACAACAGTTTGGTACAGAAACCCCAAGGGAAGATGCCTCACGGGACGTCATAGAGAAGATGGAAAACTGATCACAGGGAATGTATTGCAAGGGCAACTCTTTGCGATTTCCGAAAGGAAAGAACGAATTACAGAAGAATGACGAATCATATACAAAATACTCGTAGGTACAAGAGCAAGAAAACAAACGTAAAATACAACATAAACATTGCCTTCTGAAAGCAGACAACTGCCTCTGTGTATAGCGAAATTTGGAGCTTTGCATAACGTAGTACATATTCAGACAAAACCTGAAACAAAGATGCTATCACATATCCATCGCTGATAAAACCGTTTTATGCGTGTGACGAAACGCAGACTCGAGGAATAAAGATTCACCACATAAGTAGCCACTTGTAAATATTTCCCGACCGTCAGGAAACGTGGCTGTGAACGGAATCCGACGGGCTTAGGGCGAGGCATATCCCCGAAGCCCGTGTTTATGTGAGTGCACTTACTGCTTCAGGCTATTTCCAGTAATTACAGACGTGGTATCAGGAACAGACTATAGGCCTGCAAATCGATTAAATACGACGGACAATGACCTTATAACCGCTAATAAATTTACATAGTTTATCAGTCTGTTCGTCCATGAACTAAACATTCTATAGCTGAGCTAAAAGCTGGAGTGTGCGCAGGCTCAGGCTACAAATCCACAATTGGCCTCTTCTGTGAGTCCAACTAGTCTTACTTCCATTTTCATTTCTTTCCTGTTTTTTATTTTTTCTCTTCATATATTTTCTTTTGTTTCTTTCTCTTTCTTACCGATAATCCCATGCTACCCTGTCATTCCTTGATATAAACTGCACACTCGTTCTGCAGAGAGTAAAATCGTCCTGATGCCACGAAAAATTCATTTTATATCATATTTGTTTTTTGAAAAAAAAAAACATAAATATTACGTTCTTTGTATATTTAAGAATTCTAAACTGAAAAGTATGGTACCTGTGAGCGAGTGTGTGTACAAAATGGAAATCCCGCAGTGCGTGTCAGAGTCAGAGCCAGTATGGGTATCTACAGGGAATACACACTCTGTAGTGTGATCTTCTGAGAACTACCTGAAAATCTTTTGGTCGCTCAGGAGGTAGAGAAAACTGCCCCTTCTTCAAATCTGTCACACGAATTCGTTCTGGTAGCGACCTCAACGGACCAAGGGCTTTACAGACCCCTTGGGCCCTGACCTCTGTTTTCCAGTTTCATGACCATAACAGACAGTAGGACCTCTTGGACGAGTGATCAGCTCGTCGCAAGTCCTCTACCTAAACACTGGACAACACAAACACAGAATAAACCTATACACATATTAAATATCCATGCCTTGTATGGGATTCGAACCCACGATTCCGGCTTCCGAGCAAGCGAAGGCGGTACTGCCTTAGAGCCCTCGGCTACCGTGACCGGCGACCAAGAGCCTATAGATATTACAAATTATCTATATTATCGCTGCAATATGGATGTTCAACTGCTAGAGTGAAGAGGGCTTGTGCGGTGTGTGGAGACGTAGCACAGTCTTGCATTAAACATTCTATCCTTTAGGGTCGTAGAACCTAAAACAGCTATATTCTCCCTGCTCCTCATTAAGCATCGCCCCAAGCAGGAGCATGGGGAATAAGGTATAGATCCACGGCGGTTTTTGGGAATCAGCAGTCAGAGTCATACATCAGCCACTTTAGTCCCAGAGGAATGAAATGGCCTGTACTCATTTACTCATTGCACTGAAGCTAGTGGGTGAACCCAAGAGGCGATCGGGACGCTGTGGTTAAGAGAAAAATATTGTATTTTCATGTATTAATGACTAGACATGAGGTTTGGATCGATAATTAGATTTACTGGACGCTTAAAACTCGTGACTACAATTATAACGTCACCGCTAACCTGCACACTTTATAATTCATTATAGTGCATGCTTATCTTCTCAGTTAGTCTTGACTAGCTGTTGCTTGGTAACGGATCCCAATAATATCTCCCTCCGCTCTTGTCGTTACCGGCTGGCGACTGACTGTCGGTCGGTTAAATTGCTGTTGGCTTTCGCCAGCAGTCATTCCTGCCTTCAGCCCCCTCGAGATCCATGACCAAGTTTTGTATTCTCTCCTAGACATATTCATTCATTCATATATGTATATATGTATATATATATATATAATACACATATATGTGTTTCGAAATAGGGCCTCCTCTTCGACGAAGGAGGGATAGGTCTCTCTGTGTATGCGCTAGGTTTGTTGCACCGTAGTTTCAGCACGATTATATCCACGCTGTCACGGCGTCCAGGTCACTATGGGCTCTGTGCAGCCTTCGTCACTGAACTGTACTAAGTAACATTTATACAACGTATAAGCAAGCTTGTGCAGAATGTTTTGCCTTAACTTACGTAACCACTCTGAAACTGCAGTTAGTCAGCTGAACGGTCGTAGACCTGACCGCCGCCAAATTTAAATCTCTTATATTTACTACGCCTGGCTTCTCCTTTTCCAATACCACGTACATTTTGTTTTGCATGGTTAAGCATCTCCAATTGGTTCCCCTTATATAATGTCGGCAGGACTCAAAGAGAAAAGATCATTTCCAACAGTTCCTCTGTTGTTGCGCGCGGTATAAACATTGCCGCTCTCACAGGGTTATTTACCGGTCGTTGTGTAGCAACGGAACTCTGTTTAATGGCGTCATTACGTGATTATTGTGCCTTAACCTGGCAACGGTCAATACTTTCTGGCTTTCATGACAAAATACTGCCCCTGCCTGGAATCGACACAGAATTCCTTGACTCTCTAGCCTGCAGGTCCCTGTACTGACTGACCTACCCAGACATTAAGTTAGTAATTCGGTTTTGGTAGCATATATTGGGTATGCCATGATGAATGCTAAGAAGACAAACGGTTTCCTTCGAGATGCCAGTAAAAACTCCAAACAAAAGGAAAAGGTAAAGTCCTCGGTGCTTAATTAACTAAGCATCAAGCCATGAAGATGAATGCGAGAGTGGAGATACAGCTCCATCATTCTTGGCTGCAGCGCTAGGTGGAAGTGAGTGGAAACTACAAAGACAAAGCATAATTTTAAATAGTTGCGTAAACATACAAATCTAAGCCTACCTTATGTATTGTTTATTAACAGCTACACCTAATGCATCGCCTACAATCTACATGGCAGCTACTGAAGTGAGAGATTTATGTTGCAGCTATTGCAAATTATGAGCTAAATATAACCATTCCTCGATAAATATAATTAATTTGATATATATGCAAATTAACCATTAAAACTGGGGCGCTCATGAACATCATTCTAGGAGGACTTGAGGTGGCCATCAAACCAGTTAGGCTCCTAAAATTTGCTTAAATTAAATATGTAGTAAAGTCAGTTAGGTAAACATTTATCTGACAACTTTCTTATCCAGAATGGTCTAAAATAAGGACATGCTTTAGTGTCATTACTTTTCAATTTTGCTTTACATGTCATTAGGAAGGTCCATGAAAACCAGGTGGAACCGAAGTTAAATGGGACACATCAGTTGCTGGTCTATGCTGGTGATGTGAATCTAGCGGGTGATAGACATAGATACAATGA